CCGCCCCGCAGCCCCCCGACCCACCTGGCCTTCAGCTCCTTGTGCTCCTCCCTCACTTTGCTCAGCTCCAGCTGCAGCCTCGCCCGCTCCTTCGCCACCGAGTCCAGCGTCTTCCTCGCGTCCGCCAGCTCGGCTTCGTAGGCGGCTTTGATTCCCGACACCTCCCGGCTCACCACCTCCTCGGACTCGGTGATCCGCAGCCTCAGCCCGGCGTTCTCCAGCTCCAAGGATCGCACCTTGTCGATATAAACGGCCAGGCGATCGTTGAGCTCTTGGAGGTCCTCCTTCTCCTGCAGCCGAGTGATGCGGGTCGGGGACAGGGGGGTCCCCGAAGTGCCGCCGCTCCGGCCGCTCCTCCGTTGGGACGGGGTGGACATGGCGGCTGCGGGGGGCGGCGAGGAGCCGGGGGGTCGAAACGGAGCGAAAATAAGAGGCGGGGGTCCGGAGGCGGCACCGCCGGCGGAGGGCAAAGGAGAGGCGGCGGGGGTCGGCAGGCGGAGCGGGGCGGAACGGCGGGGGGCTCCGGGTCGGGGGGCAGAGGGCGGCCGAAGGGGGGGCGGCGGAGCTGCCGGGGGGCGGTGGGGCGCAGGAGGAGGACGGGGGTCGCACGGAGCAGCGCTGGATCCCGCGGGGGCTCCAACCCGAACGCCGGCGGAGCGCGGCGCGGCGGAGCTGCTGCTCTTATAGCGGGGGGGGGCGGGGAATCCCAGCCCCGGGGGGGCGGGAAGGCGCTGCGTCACCGCGTGGGGCCGCGAGGAGGGGGGGCGGGGGGGCGGGCGGCGGCGCTGAGCTCCATAAGTTGTGGGGCGGGACGGGAGCGGGGGAACCCCGGGGGGCCGCAGTGAATGCCGGAGCTGTGGGGCGAAAGGTCCCCGTGGGAAGCCCAAAAGTGGGGGGCGGGAGGTGCCCATAAACCCGAGGCAAACCCCAAAAGTGTGGGGCAGAAGACCCCCAAATGACCCCCATAAACCCGAGGCAAACCCCATAAGTGTGGGGCAGGAGGATCCCAGGTGACACCCATGAACACATAGGGAACCCCACACGTGTGGGGCAGCAGCTTTGCAAGTGACCCATAAACCCACAGCAAACCCCATAAGTGTGGGGCAGACGACCCCCAAGTGCCAACACTGAGCCCGTGACAAACCCCATAAGTGTGGAGTGAAAGACCCCAAGTGACCCCCATCACCCCATAGGGAAACCCAGAAGTGTGGGGCAGCAGCTCTGCAAGTGACCCCATGAACCCACGGCAAACCCCATAAGTGTGGGGCAGCAACTCCTCAAGAGACCCCACTGACCCCATAGTGAAACCCCACAGATGTGGGGCAGAAGTTCTCCAATTGACCCCAATATCCTGCCCAGTATCTCCCAGTACCCCCCCGACCCCCCCAGTGCCCCTCCAGTATCCCCCAGTATCTCCCAGTATCTCTCAGTTCCCCCCAATGCCCCCCAGTCCCCCCCCGGCCCCCTTTGAAGCCCCCCCACCCCATTCCGGGCCGCTTCCTGGCTGCCGGCTGGGCGGAGCGGGGTTCCCCCCTTGGCTGCAGACCCGCCTCCCCCCCAAACCCCACCCAACCCCCCCCCC